ACATCCCAAGGCGTCCAGTTAGGCTGGAGCTACACAATATTACTAATAATAGGCTTCAAGGCCAAGGTATTGGTTAGTGTATGCTCCTCTAGCTTTGTCAGCGCGCACTTCAGTTGTAACTGGTCGAACTGGACTGTGAACTCCTCCATTGAAAGATATCGTTGTTGCGAATCGTGGAGTTTCAGAAAAATGCCGTGACGATAATGAGGGGGAAAATATTTCTTCTGCATGGCTTTCTTTATCTTCTCCCACTTGATAATCTTACTGTTGCCTTCACATTTTCTCTCTCATTGTATGTTCTCCCGCCATAAGGAGACACTCTTCTTCAACTAAATAGCAACTAGTTTGATCTGTTTATCTTCTGACACATCTTTATACTCGAAGATTCGCACAACTGCTTGCAGCTAATCAATGAATTCATCCTAATCCATGCCTCCCCCAAACTCTCGTAAATCCACCTTTATTCTAGTCTCTATATCCTCCAAATGACATCTCTTGGAATTCTCTCTCTGGGAGGGATTTAGAGATCCCACTTTAGGCCTCCTCTGATACTGGATTTTGAAACGCTCTTGCATGTCTTCTCCATTGTTGCAATTATCCATATGGAAAAGATTCAAATTTTCTTCTATTTCTCTCCTTCAACTTTCCAGATCTGGGTCGAGGGTAACCTCTTCCTGTGCCCACTCTTCAATTTCCGCAATCCTCTGTTGAAGGCAACAGAGCTCTTGTTGTATCTCTTCCTAAGTAGGCTCAAGCATATTTCTCCATAATGGCATGGCTAGGGATTAAGGAATGAGAAAGAAAAATTTTGGTGGGGTTAAGACTTTGGTTGTGGAAAGAAAATTATTTGGTGGAGGTGAGAGAGGGTGTATGAGATTTATGGTGGGTGCGGAAAAGTTCCTTTGGTTTGCTAATTTTGAAAACCAAAAAGGGAGATTTAGGATTTGGGGACTATAGTTTAGAAATAGACGGATGCTAGGAAACCCCATAATAGGAATAGGATTAGGCTGGCTCTGATACTAAATAATACTGGAACTAGATAGAAACTCGACAGAAATACAAAAGCAAACTTAATTTAATATAAAAAAGGGCTACAACACAACACAAACCAGAAATAAATACAAACACAAACTAATCTCCGATTAGGACCGGAAGAGGAGATTCGAGGGTGGTGGTGGCGTCACTAAAAGGGTCGGGGTAAAGGGGAAGGGTTGAAGTCGGAGGGTAGATTGGAGGGGTGGTGGTTGTGGTTGGTGGGTGGCTTATTTGGGGTTAGGAAGCGTGGGGTGGTTGGGAAATCTATAGGTAATGGGGGAGAAGGGTGCGGGTTGATAGGGAAACAAACTTGATAGTAAAGAGGATGGTTGTCATGGGTCGTTAGGATGCACTTGGGGTGGCAGGGAAGGCTAGACAGCAAGGCCGATGGCAAGTGGAGGGAGAACAGGCGTTGAGTGGTGGGAGGGAGAGCTGGATAGTAAGAGAAAGGAAGGGGAAGTGCGGCGGTGCTAGGAGAGGCCGATAGGGAGGTCTGGAGAGGAAAATAGTGGTTGGAAGGTTTAGGAAGTACGGAGGAGAGGAGATTGGAATGGATATAAAACATCTTGGAAGATACAGCCGAAACACCACTGACTTGGGCCTTATTTTTAGGGCCAACAACTTCACACAGAAACCTAAAATCTGAAAAACTGCAAAACTAAAACATAAATCTCTAAAAACAAAATTTAAAAAGACTCCAATAGCAAAACATCAGCAAAGGAAAGCTCCCATAAGAAAACATTAGCAACCGAAGACTCTCATAAGAAAATCACAGCAAAAAAAGTGGGAGAAAGAGCCCCTTTATATAATCAAGTAAATACACAGAAGCCTTTTTAATTTAATTATTCATTTTTAAAATATAACCATCACGGTATAGGAAAACACACATTATATAAATAAAAAAGAATATTTAATTATTGAACATGTAATATTAAAAAAAGTATATGATAGATAAGTAGTTAATATAAAAAATAAAAACACTACATCCAATTTATACACAACCAAACATCTCATAAGTATTCAAAATATATTACTTTTACTTTACTCTGCATACATCTAACCAAAACAAAAAAAATATTCCTCTGCATTTATTTTACAAACAATGAAACAGCTTTAGAATTTTCAGAGTACGCTGTGTTCTGAGTTCTCTGCAATCCTTTTGCATTATATTTCATTTTCAACAAACCAAAAAGCAACTAAGAAACATCATTTATATCAGTGGAAAAAAAGGGGATCGATTGAGCAATCAAGTAATGTAACTATCGAGGAATTATCTACATAAATTATTCCTATTATAAATAATCAAATTGACATTAATTGAATTTTTGGTCTTTGGTTTCTTCATTTATATGCATACCCAAAAAAACTAGTTTAGAAAGCACACCTCGCCCATATCTAAGGGTTCGATCATGACAACCAACTTCAATAAAACATGAACTTCAAATCTCCAAATATATGGTTGAACTCAAGTGAATCATTCATCATGACTTATCTTTAAACCAATTAAGTTAGATTTTTTAAAAGAGATTGTTGTCCAAATGGATAAAATAACATATTAGTGTAGTTTCTTTGTCATAAAAATAAAAGTCTATCAAACTTTAAAAAAAAAGATTTTTTGTTTTTTTCTTCATCCTATCCGTCTTCGAGATTTCATTGTAGTGTATTTATTAGTATTAATTATGAAGCATATAGCATTTTAGCATTGACATTGCATTCATTATAATATATTGCATCATTAATTAGTCATTACTCATTAACAAGATTTTCATGAAAATAGTGACAAAAAAACTAATATATAATAATGATAATTGTAAGTCTATCAAACAATGAGATAAAGTAATGGTTTATTTAAATCCTGAAAGGCACCCAATAAAGAAAATTTTAACCACATAAAGTAATACAGCATATTGTAATGAATGCTAGGCTAAAATCTCAAAAAAACTTAGGTATTATTCTAATTTTTGTAGTATCAAATTTGAGTTTATATCATTAATCATGAACAAACGCCTTAGATTTATTATAAGTTTATATCTCCTCGATCAAAATTCGCATCCAATATAGCACTTGCACAATTACTATGAATTTCATAATAATCTCATTTTTAAAGCTATTTTAAATATAGATCATAATCATTACTAATAAAGTGCAACAAAAATATTATATAAAGTAGAAAGACAAGTATACAACTGATGATTCATGAATTTCTCTACAAACAAAGCAAATATGTCAAGGTCCATTCATTAGTCACTTGTTGTCACAGAATTTCCATGCTATTGTTACTCTTATAGTTTTCATCGACTAAGTTTTTAGCCTAAAATTTTAGTTTATTGTGGGATACAAAATTTTATCACGGTTACCTCTAAAATACTTTAGGGACCCTTATCGGTTTGGGATGAGATTGCCACTCCGTGTTCTTATTTATCTTTATTTATATAAATTAACAAAAGATTTGAGATAATAAAAAAGAAGGCTTAAAGCAAATAAAAACTATTTTATGTTGATTTCTACTCTAATTCGATAGGTATTTGAGTGAATGGTATTCTTTCAAGTCATGTATACATAATATGTTTGATTATAAGATCTAATTTTCAAATTTGATACAACTAATTTTCAACTATAAAATGACTTTCGATCCGATGATTGATTCTTTTATTATGTTGATAAAATGAGAAAACTCTATTAGAAAATAGTTCATTATCATTTGAGTGGAATTATGTATTTTCAATTTTTTTAAAATTTATGAATAATTGCCTAAATTAGAAATTTGTGACTATGAATTTGACATGGTGTGTGTGATTATGCATTAAAAAAAAAGGTAAGAACCCATAGACTATAAGATTCCATGCACCAATCATACATTGCTAAAGGAAAATTAAAAAACAAGAAATTGAGACATAAAATAATAAGAGATCAATCCACATTTCTGTTTTCATTGAATTTGAGATATCATTAATTAGGGCAACATGAATAGGTAGCTTGCTCTACAATTAAGACAAAAGGAGACAAATCCCGCTTTGATGACGATTGTTGCATCCCAAAATCATCTTCCTAATGAGGATGAAAAATTTTGTTGTGGAAGAATTAGGTTCTACTGTAGTCTTAGAACCAATTAGCTTATGTTTTTCCAACTAAAAACTAGCTATTCACTTCTTTCTGCTCTGACTTTGGGTTGCATCCAATTGAGAATGAATCCAATTATCATCGTTAGCTGGTTAAAAATCTTTATTTTTGCAAAAGTACCGGCAAAGTTCATAAAGTTTTTTTCCTTGTTTCCATGATACGGATCTCATAAATTCAGAAGAAAGTCTTCAGTAAATTCCAAATGGAAAAAATTGTTGCTTTCGGATATTTGAAAAACAACAAGGTCAAAAGAGAGAATTCAAATAGAAGCATTCTTGATGTTGTAAACAACACTGTAGTTCCTTAGTGGTCAAGTTACATGTTGCAAACACTGTAGTTCCTTAGTGGTCAAGTTACATGTTGAAATAATTTTCTACATACTTTCAAGTTTTCAGTCATCTAACATATGTCAATAAACTGTTTCGGGAAATTGTGTCAAGTAGAATAACAGAACAAGGATGAGAGAATTCAAAGGCAGATCTCACACTTCACATATGTTGTACACTGCACAAAAGCAGTTCATTTTAAATCACAATAAAAACTAAGACGCTTCATAACAATTTTTTTAAACTAACCAGCTTAAAGCTCCTATATTCCAATTTTCCCCTGAGCCAAAAGAAATCAAGAAACCGAGCAGAAAAAGATTCAGATTATAAAGCTCATTCCTTTGCACTTGAGCATCAATAGATGATCAAACATGGCGTCAATTATTTATCAGCTTGGAAATATATGTTCATTGACCAACATAATAAGTGTTCAGGGGGCATTTTTCGCTGATTTTTGAGAAAAGAGACACATTTCTCAAAAAATAAATTTACCATAAACCGAAAGCTTCAGCGCAATACCTTGGAGTTCTCATCTGTGACGCGGTTCAGAAGAATTCCATATAATTGTGATACAGTGGAACAATTCGACTTGTCACCAACTACGAGCATATGCGATATACACTGAAGCGCTGCAATCCGCCCACTCACAGGAAGCGATCCGCATCCCAGAACCCGAACTAAGCTTTCAGAAAAAATAGCCCCTTTGTTCTTCAGAACGGCAGGGGAAACCCTGGGGAGGATGATGGAGATGAACGAAAGCAGAGCTGAGACATCTGGATCGCCACCCGCGGTACGTGGATCAACGCTGAGTCGGATAAAGGAGGCCACGGCGGCGGCAAAATATGCGACGGGGGTGAGTGCCAGACCCTGCTCCTTGAGGGCCTGAGAAATCGCGCCGACTGTGGCACAGATGTTATGGTGTCCCTCCTGCGGGGAATTCTGGAACCTGGCGAGAATATCGGCGGCAATGTCGTCCCCCGAAAATTGATCGCTCTCCGGAGGCTGGGAGATCTCCATCTCCGCATCCATATTGCGAGATGAGGGTGCAGCAATGATTTAACGCTGCGTGGGGATTTCTAGCACGTTCACCGAATTCCTCGCCACAGTCCCGAAGACTTCTTTCCTAGCTCCGGCCGGTTGCACCGTTGCGCCCTGCTGCTTGGTACCAAGAATTGAACGGTATTTGATCAGGATCCAGTCAAACAACAAAATCGACAAAAAGGAGGCTGTTTGGTAGCCGGTTGCCATACAACAAAAATGACAACTTTAAACCCTAAATAATTTTAAATCCCGTTCACCGTCCTGCCTTGGCGACGGGCGGCGAGAGGGAAAACAGAGATTACCTTCGCGACGTCTCCCTTCCTTTCCTCGATGGTTTCGGGTGGGAGCACTAATAATAATTAATGGATAACGAATAAAAATTAATGGCCGAGTCAAATAAGAAGTTGTTGAGCCACTTTTCAATAATAATAATTAATGGATAACATGAAATTGGTCTCATCCGAGTCAAATAAGAAGTTGTTGAGCCACTTTTCAAAACTTGAAAATTCGAAGTAAAATAAATTCAAATATGATAAATTTATAGTAAAAGTAAATGTTTCAACAAGACGAATTCAAAGATTCTAAAATCACTCAATCCTAAAATCAATAGGGTACTCAAATGTTCGTAGAACTTCATTTAATTGAGTGAACCTCTCCGAGTTGTCCGATAGAATGGTCCTGATTTTTTCTTATTTTCAGATAGGACACTCCGAGACACCATAAGTATAGCTCTACCCAACATTGAACCTAAAGTAGGACCAAGAGAATATGGAATTGAATTACGAGATGCGCCGCGAAATACTAGTGTATATTGTGCATTAACAAAGCACCGGACGTGGTAGTAATGCAACTCGAATACGGTGCAACAACGCACCCGAAAGACGATATAACAACACACCTCATAGTCACACTTAGAACCATCATACTTGAAGATACATTGGCTTTATTCAGACTTATGAAGCTCTCACATTGTTGTCCACCACTACGGTTTACATGAAAACTACTACCTACATGGTTCACAACTCATGTGGCTCCCAACTTCGATCTTTATGGTCTACGGATAATATCACAGCTCGTGCGGCTTCCAACTCCAACCCCTACGGCCTACAAACGTTATCTCAACTTATGTAACTCCCAACTCTAGTCCATGTGGCATCATACATTATCACATCTAATGTTGCTTCCAACTGTCAGCCCTATGGCTAAAGACGTTATCAGCTCATGCGACTTCCAACGTCAGCCCCTATGGCCTACAAACGTTATCACAACTCACGATGCTCCCAACTCTGACCACTGTGGCCTATGAACATTATCACAGCTCGTCTAGCTCTAAACTATGGCGTATGTGGCTTACGAACATTATCAGAGCTCGTACAACTTCCAATTTAAACCTCAGCAACCAACAAATGTTATCACAATTTTTTCTGCTCCTAACTCCGGCCTCAGTGGTCTATGGGCGTTATTACATCTCATGCTACTCCGAACTTCAACCTTTATTGCATGCAGACGTTATCACAACTTGTGCAACTCCCAACTCCGGCTCTATAGCCTACAAAAGTTATCACAGCTTGTGGAACTCCAAATTTCAACTTTTGCAGCCTACGAATGTTGTTGTAGATTTTACTGCTCCAAAATCTAAGCTTTATGACCTGCAAATGTTATTACAACCTGTGCAGCTCCCAACTTTGGTGAATGCGGCCTACATACATTATCACAACTTGATGCAAACTAAGTGCAGTGAAGCATTGGCAACTCACGCAAGTATACATGTCATGTCAGCAGTATCCAAAATAAAGTTCAGGTATTAATCTCACAAGGAACGAACTAAATGAAGTATCGGCGACTCACGCAAGTATACATGTCATATCAACAATAGCCGAAATAAAGTTCATATTATCAATCTCACAGGGAACAAACTGAATCTCAAACGAAAAAGCTCCAGTCTACTATCGTCGACCCTAACTTGAATGTTGAAGTTTCAGTGACTATTCCTAAGTTATAAAGTTCAAAAGATCCCATGCTAACAACAGTGAAGAGTTAAGATTTTTCAAATGCTTAAGAGGATCTCCCCTAAAATGGTTCCGTAGGACATCAATTGTTAAAGAATGATTCAACAAGCAGGTGACTAACGAAAGCAATCATCTTCCTTACCCACTTCCAGGAGTCTAAGCAAATTGGCTAAAAAAACTTACTTTAATTCTCTAAAACTAATTTTTAGCCCCAAGAAGTAATTTCTCTCAATAAAGTCTACATTAACCTAAAGACATTATCCATATTCCACGAAGTTAATGTGATTAACCTAATCATTCCGCTATGACCTCTTCCAAATTTCATAATTCACGATATGTATTAACAAATCACTTTTCCAAAACGAAAGTAAAATGAATTTGTGAAGGTTAAACATCACCATTTAAAATAAAGCACCAAATCACAAGAGAAATTTAACATTGATCAATCCTACATCCCCATTTCAAGATAGAATAGGAGAACGACTGACTACTCATGCTCATACATCAACATAAACATTTTATTTGGAAGAAGAAATCAAACACACAAGTCTTTAATAGTTGAAATAAAATCAAATTACACAAAGAACTCCAAAGTACTCATCTCCCTTCCCTCTCACTTGGAATGATAGTGATACAAACACAATGATTCTCAAGCACTCATAAAACTCATTTCTCTACACTTAATTGCAAGTTGAAGATCTTGTTTGGTCTTCTCCTCGATGCTTCGTGCTTCAAAATAACAGAAAAGACCCCTCCTCGATCAAATTCATGACCTTTATATTTCTCATAGCAAAAAGACAAGTCTAAACTCTGAATTGCAAAAAAACTATCTACATGCATCAATTATCATCTAAGCGTCAGGTTGTGACGCCAAGGCACAAAGCACTAATTTTGGACTCATGACATCAGGCGTCAAGACGCCAGCAGGGCAACACCTACTCACTGCATTTGTTGCACTTGCTTTTTGTGCTCTTTGTATTATGGGCAAGACATCTCTGAAATCCACTTGGCAACCGACGATTAGGTGCCAGCAACGTGACACTTAACTTTCATTTGCTATGTCTTCTACATGTACTTTAGGTGGTATTCAGTGCCTAAGCGCCAAAGAGCATGGCCTAGGTGCTCAATATATGGCGCCAAGGCGCCGCTAGTTTCGCTCCTACTTTCCAAGGTCTCGGGTTGCACATCGTAATGGACTGCTCTGAGTGCTTGGCCGTCCAATCCTGGCGCCCAAGTGATGGTATACCACTCGCTCCGTTTTGAGATTTTTCAAGCTTCGACTGCCATCCTTTCTCGAGTCATGCATCAGAACACCAAAATACTTCTATAAAGCATAACATAAACATATAAATAAGTGAAAATAAAGTGACAAATTAGTGCATTTCATATTCATGTCATAACTTATGCATCTCTCAACTCGGGCCAATGCAGACTGTGAACACTATCTTGGCTCATGCAGCTCTCAATTATAAACTCTTAGTCTGCAAACGTCATCACACTTCATGCATCTCCCAACTCCAACCTCAGTAGCCTATGAATGTCATCACAACTTGTGCATTTGTCAACTCTAGCCTCTGTGGCTTACTGACATTATCACAACTTATGCAGCTTCCAACTTTGACTTATGTGGCCTATGAACCTTATCCCGGCTCTTGCAGCTCCCTGACAAGCCTCTCTAGCCTACAAACATTATCAAAACTCATGCAGCTCCCATCTCTAGTGTATGTGGCCTACGAACTTTATCCCACTTCATGCATCACCCAATTCCATCCTCTATAGTCCCACAAATGTTAATATAGCTCTATATTATAACCTGTATGATCAACTTCAACCAACGTAACCCATGGTTCATACAGCTCTCAACTCCGACCTATGCGGCCTGTGAATGATGTTTCAACTCATCGCTACCATCTATGTGCCTATGCGACTTACAACTCCTACAACTCTTTATTATGCCCTTTTGTGGCTAGAAGACCTTCCTGAAACAACCATCTATGTCACATATAATCAACTACTACAATAATTTTCAACTGCGACATATACGATAAGTCGATACTGCACCACTGTCTATAATATATACACTTATTTTATCGCACGAGCATATACTAAGTATAATAACTTGTTGCTTATGGAGCCATATTTTTATCAAAGAATAAATGTGATCTTTATATTGAACCATAATATGTACACTCATTTAGCTTGTGGGTGAAGAAAATCTTATAGCATTAGATATATTTTTAGCATATATAAAATAAAAAAGAAAAGAAAAAACTAAAAAATTGAATCCAATTTGATATTTAAAAATTTGACTAAGGGTCCGTTTGGGGCAGAATTTTCAAAACGCCGTCATACCGTTTGGTCCGCGCTTTTCGCCAGCTTATCCGAAATTGCGTTTGGGTTTTTACACTAAACGCAGGCCGAGGGCCACGTTTCAGGATAAGCAGCTTATCCTAAAACGCACAAGCTGCCCCAAACGGACCCTAAATAGGGCCCACTTCACCGCATTTGAAACATTAGTATTATATAATTATCAACCATTTGCAACAGCTTATTAAGATTATTGATATTCACCATAAAATTTCAACTTATATTTTTAATTTTTTCCAATTTTTCAACATAAATAAATCAATCTGCTTGATTGCTTTGTAAATAGCGATATAATTTAGGTGCTTTGTATATAATTATTCTAGTTATCCAAATCTCACGTGTTTATATTGCTCATGATTTTAAGAAATGTTTTATCGGGCTGGGCTGCTTGGTTGAGGCCCAAGTTGGAAGAAAAATGAAACAATAATAGGGTCTGGGCTGCAATTTAGTAAAAGAATTATTAAAAAATTATGGTGACTATTACAATTTTTTTCAAGTCAGATCGTAGCTAGAAAATTGTCACCATATCTGGACAGGAGTGGTGGGAAAACACATATTTCAACAGTAATTTTTTTTTTTAAAAACTGTCAAAATACAGTTTACATAAACAGAAATAACTGCGGTGCAGCATCGCACCGTCACTGCACCACTGCCCAAACGGACTCTAGATCTTGACAATAGCGCATAACATGCATATATCTTGGATCTAACATTTGACAATTTAATTGTTTATGATTTTGATTTTCAACAGCATTTTCATTGTCATCTTGAATGAATTTGGCGGGAATTGCGGAATTGTTGTTCCATACAATGTAGTTTTCTTGAGTGAGGAGTGGCAGCCAGACTCTTGATGCGAGACATCAAGAACTTTAAAAAATTTTGTATGTTGATTTATTTTATTTTGTGGAGAGATTGTTATTGTTCAAATATTTAATTTCACATGAAAAACAACATAATTTTAATTTTTAAAAATAAACTACATCTTCCAACTCATA